ACCGGGTGGTTAGAGACGACCTCCTTAATCCTGAGTCATGTCACTAGAGATGAGAATGAAGGAAGTGAGAAAGCCACGCGTGTGCCTAGGGAGAGGCTCCCGGCCAGTGGAAGCGTCACCTGAAAGGCCACAGGGCACAGCGCGCTTCCGGTGTTTGGAAACTGGTAGGGAAGCCGGCGTGCTGCAGAGAAGGGACTTGTCTCGAGCAGGCCGAGGAGAGCAGAGTGGGCTTTTGGCTTCTGCAGTGAGTGTGACCTCTGCAGGGGTATGACTCCTACTTGAAAATGGCTCAAGTAGTGTGCGGCCAATACTCTGATAAAGGAAAGACTGAAAGAGAGAGACGGTGTCCGCTGAAGTCACGCTGGGTGGAGAGCCTGTGATGAATGACAGCAACAAGGGGGGCAGCAGAAGTGGTCGGGGTAGTCAGTTCTGATTATGTTTTGAATATGTAGCTGACAAATTAATTTATAAACTGAGCTTGTAAAACTATTGTATTTTAAATCTCCCCTTACCCTGAGTCTACTAGGTAAATGTTCATAAATATGACTGGTTTGAATCTCTCTCAAGGCTTCTGTGAGTACCTATGTTGTAATGTATGAGAGAGCTAATTTTAGGATTTCCTTTTGTTAAGGTCTCTTTTAACTGAATTACTGATTTGATAGTAGGTATTTTAAATTGTATTGATATTTAAGCTCTCTGCTTTATACAAGTAACAGAAAATGTGTGATGTAAATAAGCGTGACATCCGATGAATCATCGAAAAAGCAAGAGAGTTCCAGAAAAACATCTATTTCTGCTTTATTGATTATGCCAAAGCCTTTGACTGTGTGGGTCACAATAAACTGGAAAATTCTGAAATAGATGGGAATACCAGACCACCTGACCTGCCTCTTGAGAAACCTGTATACATGTCAGGAAGCAACAGTTAGAACTGGACATGGAACAACAGACTAGTTCCAAATAGGAAAAGGAGTACGTCAAGGCTGTATATCGTCACCTTGCTTATTTAACTTATATGCAGAGTATATCATGAGAAACACTAGGCTGGAGGAAGCACAAGCTGGAATCAAGACTGCCGGGAGAAATATCAATAACCTCAGATATGCCGATGACACCACCCTTATGGCAGAAAGTGAAGAAGAACTAAAGAGCTTCTTGATGAAAGTGAAAGAGGACAGTGGAGAAGTTGGCTTAAAGCTCGACATTCAGAAAACTAAGATCATGGCATCTGGTCCCATCACTTCATGGGAAATAGATGGGGAAACAGTGGATACAGTGTCAGGCTTTATTTTGGGGGGCTCCAAAATCACTGCAGATGGTGATTGCAGCCATGAAATTAAAAGGCACTTGCTCCTTGGAAGGAAAGTTATGACCAACCTAGACAGCATATTGAAAAGCAGAGACATTACTTTGTCAACAAAGGTCCGGCTAGTCAAGGCTATGGTTTTTCCAGTGGTCATGTATGGATATGAGAGTTGGACTATAAAGAAAGCTGAGTGCTGAAGAATTGATATTTTTGAACTGTGGTGTTGGAGAAGACTCTTGAGAGTCCCTTGGACTGCAAGGAGATCCAACCAGTCCATCCTAAAGGAGATTGGCCCTGGGTGTTCATTGGAAGGACTGATGCTGAAGCTGAAACTGTAATACTTTGGCCACCTCATACAAAGAGCTGACTCATTGGAAAAGACCCTGATGCTGGGAAAGATTGAGGCAGGAGGAAAAGGGGACGACAGAGGATGAGATGGTTGGATGGCATCAGTGACTCAATGGACATGAGTTTGGGTGAACTCCGGGAGTTAGTGATGGACAGGGAGGCCTGGCGTGCTGGGATTCATGGGGTCGCAAAGAGTCGGACACGACTGAGCAACTGAACTGAAACTGAAACTGAGAAGGAGTTCCACTGTTGTTGCTTCTCAAATATAGCTTCCATTTTTTATTATGGGTTTCTTTGATTGCTCTGTATTTTCTTTTTAAACATAGAGGAAGGACTTCCTTGGAAGTCCAGTGGTTCAGACTCCATGCTTCTGTTGCGGGAAGCACAATTTCGATCCCTGGGTGGGGAACTAAGATCCCACATGCCTCATGATGTAGCAAAAAAAAAAAAAAAATAGAGGAAAGACTATAATGCATGGGCACTAAAAGCCCTGGATTTGGAATGCAAGAGACATAGATTCAAGTCCAGGCTCCTGTCCTTACAAGCTGTGTGACCTTAAGGAAGTCACCTATCCTCCCTGAGCCTCAGTAGCCTCCTCTCTGGGGGACTAGAGAAAAGATTACTGTATTCAATGTATGTTACTATACATATAAAACAGCACAGTACCCAGTGAATTGATAATTACTGTGTTTGTTTTAATAACAGTCATGACAAGATATTAATGACACAGAAGTATTTGCATTTCCTGGGAAGAATAATTTTAGAAGGAGTTGTTACTTTGAGGCTTGACTACAGCAAAGTTGCTGTTTAGCTTCATTTTAGATATAGAAGGCCACTTCATACACCTGATATTTAGTACATAGTCTGGTATATTGGTGTATACATAGTCTGGTATATTGGGTCTTCACTTGTAGCTCAGATGGTAAGAATCCACTTGCAGTGCAGGAGACCCCAGTTTGATCCCTGGGAGGGGAAGATCCGCTGGAGAAGGGATAGGCTACCCACTCCAGCATTCTTGGACTTCCCTGGTGTCTCAGATGGTTAAGAATCCACTTGCAATGTGGGAGACCTGGGTTTGATCCAGGGAAGATCCCCCCTGGAGAAGGGAATGGCTACCCACTCCAATATTTTTGCCTGGAGAATTCCATGGACAGAGGATTCTGGCAGGCTACAATCCATGGGATCACAAAGAGATGGACATCACTGAGTGACTTTCACTCACCGACATATACACTAAAATAAGGACATGTGAATAAGAGTAGGTCCAAAATATAAAATGTATTTAACCTGTCAGATGTGTACCTAATTTAGTAATAAACTCAGTAAAATGAGCTTCGGTATGAATAACAGTCTGTATCTCAGTGAAGGTGACACAAGTGACATCCCCCTGACTATTCTCACAACCCCTGGTTCCATTCAGTCAGGTAGGCAATGTGCCCCAGTGAAGTTTCCTATCACCTGACGATATACACTATCACTGTAGATTAGTCTCCTTGGATAGTTGAAACAAACAGTAAAATTCACTCAAATATAATCACGTGGCATCTGTCAGAGAGCGAGATCAAGGGCTGTGTCAGTCATCAGAACAAAAAAGATAAGGGCTTTGCTCTTTTTCATCAAGTTTGCATAGGTGTATTTAGTGAAATAACCACCTACAACTTGGTGGTATGGGTTTTTATGCTATGTATTAATAATAACATAATGTAGTTAACAGTTTTCATTTACCCAAATTCCCAAATTAATGAATTATATAGATAAAACTCTCCAGTTCAACTTCTGTGATCATTGATAATAGTCATTCTTGGGTTATAGTCTGGGTTTTGTGCTGTTATTTGCTCGATAGGCAATAACTCCAAAGTAATATGTGAAAAAATCCATTGCTAAATTATTATAAACTATTGGGGTTAGCTCATAGTTCATTGCTCCAGAATTTAAAATCAGACTTTTTTCTTTCTTAAAAATTTTGAAAGACCAATATTTTGCCATTAGTTTTTGTTTTTTTTTTTTTTTGCAGTTAACTTTCAAACTGCATTTTGATGGATCAGAATGAAATATAATTGTAGCTAGTATTTTCAAAGCATAAATTCAAGCAGGATACAACTTTCTGAAATAATAAATTATTTACTCTGTTTTAGAAAGAAATTCTCAGACTTTAATGATAGCTGTTGTTTCTGATATGAATAGAAGTTCTTTAAGCCAGTCTGATTCAGGTATAATCTTAGAATTAATTGCTTTTATCCTACTTGACTAGTTTATAAGTATCAAAAATGCACACACACACATGTATAGATCTTTTTGCAAAAAACAGTTGGAACAACAAATACAAATCTTGTTGGGAAAGTTATTTTTAATATCCTTTTTTTTTTCATAATCCTCACTTCTACCTGTTTTATACATAAACATTAAAAATAAGTTCAAATGATAAGTCTTAGGGAATTAAAATATAATCTTTAAAAAAATAAGTTAATTGGACAAGGAATGATTGGTGCTAACAAATGTAAAAGATTCATTGTGTTGAACTGTATAAATATGTATAGTTAATGCAAAAGTCCTGTATCTTTTTCTCTGTTTTTAACAAAGACAGTTAAAGTCACATATTGAAAATTTTAGATGAGTGCTAATACTACCAGATACTTAAACTGATACAGAGTAAATTCTGAATCCATGCTATTAGATATATTTTATATTTTCAATTCTAATCTCTTAGTAAAAGAATACTTCTGTTCAGTCATCACCTTAATTTCATAAGCATATTTGGTTAAGCACAAAAATCTTGAATCGTAGGTAGACTTTCTTCCCTGCGTGTTTTCATTCAAATGTTTATATTTAATTTATATTTAAACAAAAAAATAGAGCTATAAACCACTACACATATCCAAAATGTCTTTTCCTTACAGCAATTAAAATTAAATCTCTAATTTCACATTAGCTCAAATTTTATTTGGAAGAGAAGCAGTTAAGGCATTTTAGCTTGCATTCAGTATATTCTTTATAATTCCATTCATGATATTTAATTGGTCAACTGTTTGGTATCACTATAAAACACTTTTCATTGCCATTCTCAAGGACTAGTTATTGTTTTCTGGATCTGAAAACTATTTATTGTTATCCTTTGCCTTGAAGGCTCTCTAAAAGAGAATAAATCCCTTCCATTCATTCCAGGTCAAAATATGGAGCAAATGACTACAAACACCTCCAATAAAATTTCACTGTAGACATAAGCTTTATGTATACTATGAACCCATGTGCATTTTCCTTTATTATTTAGATTTTTCAGGGAAATAGAAAAATATAAAATATATTCATTTTCTATCACTAAAATTACTGATTCTACTTTTTTTTTCAGGCCTGATGGAATCGGAACTGTTTCAGTGGAAGAAAAAGAGAGATTTGAGGAAATAAAGGAAAGACTCTCTTCCCTTTTAGAGAATCAGATAAGCCATTTCAGGTATATACTCCATTAGTACAAGTGTTTGCTTAATTCACTCAGTCTTCTAATCTCCTACAAATGTGGGTTATGTTGTTCTACTACTGCTCAAGAACTATCAGTTAGCTTCCCCTCCATTGCTTGCAAGATATGATCACACATTCCTCCATCTGGGGTCTCCTTCTCAGCCTACCTTTCAATTTCCACATCTCATTAGGTAGACCCCACCCCCTGCAATATCCATTCTGCTCACATTGTCTTCTCAGCCTTGCATAAGCTGTTCGCTCAGCTCTGGGCAAGTTTACCCCCTCTTCCTGCATCACCAGGCAAGGAGACTTTCTCATTTATTCCAACAGAGGGTGGAAAACCTGAAGTCTTTTATTGTTCATCATCTGTACTATGTCCTAGTTACCCGCCACCTAGTAAGGACATACGTTTCTTAAGTCCTTAGTTATCCTTTTATTTACGTTCCGTGAGAATAAGGACCACAGTGCACCTGGCACAGTTTCTCAGTCAAAACAATGAAGTACTGGCACTAATAAACATTTGCAGGATGAAGGATAAATATCTTGATAATATTCCTTTTTTTCCCTGATTATAGAGGGCTTAATAGAACTTAATGGTCAAAAACAATTATGCCTTTTTCTATTCCTCTCATCATTAGATCCTATAAAATGCTGCCATGTCAATGTATTGTATCTTATAGCACATCTGTCATGCTGTGGGTATGTAATTTGGAATCATTTCATATGAACTTATTGAAAAATAAATTTAGTTAATATTGCCCTCAACCATTTGAAAACACTATGATTTAACCATGTGAACGGTGTGTGGCTGCTCTGAGTCTCAGTTTCCTTATTTGTAATATGAAAAGCTTAGACTCTGTGATTTTTTAAAATGATCCTGAAGGAAAAAATTATCATAGGATAGACTATTCATCTGTTTCCCTGCATTAGTGATTTCTGCTGGAGCTGGTATCACCAACTTAAGGTAAGTGAATGAGGGAGGATTTACTTTGTCATGATAATTGGGCCTGGGGCAGTCATTCATTGCTGTATTTAGAAATGCTATGCATGGGACAGAATTGTTGGAGAATTATGAGAATTATTCTGTCCAAAAGGCCAATAAATTCACATTAGCAAACACATTTTCAGAGGATATGTATGCATTTGCTGCCAAAATTAGTATCTTTCAGGTTGCATAGACACCATTATATTCATTGTGTATGTCATTTAATGAAAATATGTAGTTTTTCTGTTGTTGGCATTATTGAGACACAGCTCATTCAGTTGAATATCTGTATCAGAAACTATATAAGTCTCCATGGTTATTTGTAGTAGTGCTTTCATGTGCAAGTAACAGATCCCACCTCATATTGGTTTAAACTAATAGATGTATATATGTTCACTTACACGCAGGTCTCAGATAAGGTGAACTTCAGTACAGGCTGAATTTAGTAGCCAGAGCTCCATTTCTTTGTGTTTCTCACATGGCTGTCTTTTTTCATGGAGTAGCTTTAGCCCTAGATGGCTAGCAAGACCAGGAATTCCTGACCTCACATCCATACATGGAGGTTTAAAGGGAAGCTAGTAGAGGCTCTCTCTTTCTATGATTCTCTCTTAAGCTGGAAAGTTGCCGTAGAAGATCCTGGCAAACCACCTCTCATATCTCATTTGCCCCAGATAGGTCATAGGCGTGGTCCCTAACCCAACCCAGGGGCCAGAGGAAGCCCATGCACTAGGTGCTTACTGACAAGCCATGGGACCACCATGATTGAGTCAGCCTGGTCAGAACCAGCCCACCAGGGGCCTGCCACCACAGTGGGAGTGGTGAAGTGTGAAAGTTGTGTCCGACTCTTTGCGACCCCATGGACTGTAGCCTGCCAGCCTCCTCTGTCCATGGGATTTTTTCCAGACAAGAATACTGGAGTGGGTTGCCATTCCTTCTCCAGGGAATCTTCCCAGCCCAGGGATCCAACCCAAGTCTCCTGTATTGCAGGCAGATTCTTTACCATCTGAGCCAGCAGAATGACTATTGTCCACATCATTTATTGTATTCATTTCCTCTCTCTTACAGTTTTATTTCTCTGCTTTTCTGTGTAAAGTCTGTAAAGATGTACTCGAATTCTTTTTCATTTTTATTTCTTTAATGTACTAAAGATAAGAGCTAAACCAAACTGCTCTAGATATTTTGGGCTGATTTTATATTCCCTTTTGATATATGTAGAATTTGTATAAATTTTATGAGTTTTGTTTTTCCTGAGTCCATAGAAAACTGGATAAGAGGAAATGAGGTTAAAATAAAACAGAAGAAATTTTAGGGATCCATATAGACAAATTTAGAAGCATATTTAAATTATCCATGAAGATTTTCCTAAGGATTCTATCAAATGATCTTCCTTAGCCACTTATCAATACATTAAAATTTAGAAAGAACATAAATTACTTACCAACTCACACTAAAGAATAACCAGAGTACTATTAATAACTCTTGCATAAAAAATTTATTCAGGCCCAACTGTGTTTCAGAAATGAATTTCAAAGACACTGATAAAGTAAGGCAAATTAAATTAAACATAAATGAGGGACTTCTGGTTAAAGACAGCAGGTTAAATGCATGTCTGGCTCAGCTTCCTAATAGAACCTAACCAAAATAACAGAACAGTATTTTTCCGAAGACAGAGACCTACAAAGACAAGAGTAAGAGGAAAAAATGGAAAAAAGTTTAAAATGTGGAAGTCAGATGAATGGGTGGTATCTAATTTAGCCACCCAGGAAAAACTGGAAGTCGGGAAAAAGAGAGAAGCAATCTGATTTATGTCATACAATCGCCAAAACGTTTGGAACTGCCAGTTGTAAACCCGCCTGGAAATCAAGAGTAGGATGATTTGCTGTAAATCTGCTTAAAACACACTTAGATCCCCAGATCTCTTTTCTAACTCATCAGCTAGGCTGCTGCCCCTCCCCTTCCCTAGCAGAGCACTGCAGGTTTTTTTCCCTAGAGAGGGTAAAATTAGAGGGTACCTGGGCTGAGGTGGAGGAGGGGAGGAAACAGGCACAGTTGGAGTTCAGGATTATATAGAAACATGGGGATTAAATAAATGTTTATTCTGAAATCTGAGAATCACAGCCTTCTCCTTCCACCTCACGCACTTGGCACCCAAAATGCTGGCAGGAAGGCAAACAGGCTTATGCCTTCCATACATATTATAAGTGTCTTCCCCTGGGACTCTAACTAACACAAGAGAAAAGACCTAAAGCTGTGAAAAATAAAGACTCCCACAAAACAGCTCAGCTCTAAGCCCTGTCAGCAAAGACCACAGTCTACACATACCCACCTAGGTGCATATAGCTTCTGTTCAGTTATTTAATAATGCAGTTTTGAAAATGATCAGACAGCCAAGGTAAGGCTTCAGATATTTAGCAAAAGTATTTGCTATAGGACTCAAACCCCAAACAAGTAATACAAAACAGCAACTTGGGGACAAAAACAGACATATGGAAAAAAGAAAATGGTGGAGGAGGTGATGGGAATCTATTATTAATATATTTGGAGAGATTTGAGAATATAGAGCGTTTATGAAACAAAAACAAGATTTAAAAAAAAAATCTTAAGGAAAATTAAGAGCTCTTAGAAATTGATGCAGATGACACAAATAATACATACACACTATTGAAAAATTAAGTTAATGAAAACTTCCAAAAAGTAGGAGAGTGAGAAGGATAGGAAAATAGGAATACAGTTGGCCCTTCCTGTCCTCAGGTTTCACATCCCTGACTGGGTCGATTTGGATTAGTTGAATCTGCACATATACAGGGCTGATTGTACTGTACCATTTTATATAAGAGAATTGAGTATCTGTGGATTTTTGCATCCATGGGGGTCCTGGAATCAATCCCCTACAGATACTGAGGGGAAGCTCTACGAAGACAGGAAAAAATGAAGGATCTGCTTAGGCGTTTCATCATCATAAATAATAGGAATTCCAGAAACAGTTAAGGCTGAAGGTAGGAAATTATCAATAAAGTTATTCTAAACAGTTTTCCAGAATTAAGACACATAAGTGTTCAGGTTAAAAGAGTTCATTGAGTAACAAGCACAATGAATTAAAATAGACACTCATTAGAGTATGTTCTTATGAATTTTCACAATCTTGGACATAAAAGTGGGGATCCCAAAGCACAAAAAAATCAAGAATCAAAATTACTTCTCAACACTGATTTGTTCTACAACAGTTTTTTGTTTTGTACTTTATTTCATATTTTATTTTGATATTATTTTATATTTACAGAAGTGTTGCAGAGAGAGGACCGAAAGTTCCTGTATATGTATCTCCCAGGTTCACCTAAAATTAACATCTTATGTGATAACTTAAAAAATTACATTGACACATATAATAACATTAAAACCTACTATGTGCTGGGCAGTGAACAAATTTTTTTAAATGATCTTTTTCTTCAGCTTTCATTTTGATGGGAGGAGCAGTACTGATATTCGCAAAGCAATGCATCAGTGACTTCACAATTTTGAGAAAAAATTATTTCCAGCCTAAAATTCTATACTAGTAAGTGTCTCCATTAAGGGTAGAAAGAAAAGAAAGTGAAGTCGCTCAGTCACATTCGACTCTTTGCCACCCCCATGGACTGTAGCCTACCAGGCCCCTTCGTCCATGGGATTTTCCAGGCAAGAATATTGGAGTGGGTTGCCATTTCCTCCTCCAGGGGATCTTCCCCACCCAGGGATCGAACCCGGGTCTCCCGCATTGCAGGTGGACGCTTTACCATCTGAGCCACCAAGGAAGCCATTAAGGGTAGTGGTAGGATAATGATATTTTCAGGATATCATAAAATAATGATACTTTCAAAACACGTGCTCCCCATATTCCCTTTCTGGAGAATGCAATTTACCAAGACAAAGGAGAAGACAAAGAGGGAGAATTAAGATGTATATATAAACGAAATTAGAAGAGAAAAATTTAGCAAAGTATTAATTATAAACAAAATAGTGGCACATAGAAAGTA